CCTTCAAGTGGTGATGTGCACACGCCCTGATGCACTCCACAGTACTTTATTATTTTACCCTCAGCTGTCTAATGCCAGACGATTTTATTTATAAAGGGGAGAGTGCTGCCGCTCAATGAGTTAAAGATATTTTTGCAACATTAGAAATTTCTACCTTTTTCGATGATTTTACTACCTGTAGCACTTCCCTTTCATCATTCGCGCAATTTTTAAGAAGTAGAATTGCCCGATTTTTAAGGGCCTCCCCTCTAGGTCACATCTGTGAAGACAAGTGTTAAGTTGAAGATATTTCATGCACTTAAATTGGATAAGACTTGCTATCAATCCTCATTGACTCAATATAGCTGAATGGGTAGAGTGGCAGTCTAAACCTGAAGATGTGAGTTTGATTCCCGTGGGAGACAACACATTTTTCGTTGTACTTGGTAGTTTTAATCTTTTTCAGAGTGACAAGTACAAACAAATACATTAGTAACTCTACATGAAAGTACTAATTTCAGAATTATATATAATTATATTGTTTTAATCTCAAACTATGTCAACATAGCCATTTGACATCTGGTCTGGAAACTCTGCAAACTTCAAAGCGTAGTCCTCTCAATTGCCACCAAAAATGTCTCTGAAATGAAATTATCGACTTTTTTCCAATACAATATGGGACAAGTGGATTTTTCTCCTTTCATTCAATACATCAATATTTCAGGTTTCAAATAATCCATTAGCTATATTAACCTTTTAAGTGGCAATGTGCCCTAGTTTTGCCCTACTTAGTATTTTACTGACTGTCTAATGCCAGACAATTGAACATGTCAAAAGGAAAGTGGTGCTGCTCAATATGGTTATGCATCATTCTCATTTTGGGAAAAATTCTGTCGAATTATATTTTCTTAAATTGTCGGCTGGCCAAGGTTACATTATCCATTATTTGTGTTATCTGCAGGAGTAATTTTGGAAAGAGACCTCCCTCTGGTGCACTGAAGCCTGGGACTAAAGGACGTTTGGCCCAAGGAAGCAGTATCCTTTTCATGTGATAATATCTTTTAAAATAACTTTTTTTTTTTTTTTTTGTAAATCAGCAGCAGGCGGAATCCCATTCTCGTACCCAGAGCCCTTCTTACGCGCGGTGCGACGAGGGGCCAGAGCCAAATCCATATTCCGAACTGGCATCTGATTGGCTAGTTCTAACAGCGGATATTGTTTTCTTACCATGTTTTTATGGTATCCGGTTATGGATTTGGCCAGAGCCCCTCGTCGCACCGCGCGTGGACCGTTTCTGCAATCTGATTGGCTGCAGCAGCGGGCGGAGTTTTACGATATTTGACCACGGTCCGGAATCCTATACGTAATGGCCGAAGCAAAGCAAAAATTTTTTGTATGTTTGTTTTAAAACTGAAAAATATGAATATGTAATTTTGAAATAATTTTAATGATGGATAAAATAATTGTACTGTATTTTAATTGAACTGTTTGTTTTCTAAAGTAAAATAATTAAATATCAAATTTTTTTTATTGTTTTGTTTTCTATATGCGCAATCTAATAAAACCGTTGCCTTCTTCGACAAAAAAATAAATACGTTATTTACCGTTTAGGTCGGTCCGGATAGAAAAATATTTTGTCTCAAAATATTTTTCTATCCGGACCTCCCAGCCGGTAAATAACATATATGTCTTTTAAGAAACAGAGTGTTCATTATAATGAAGTACAAAAATTGAATTCTAAAAATAAAATTTCAAGGACAGCATGCAGTGTACTGAATATCAATAAGGGTTACTGTAGACCTGTTCCATTGTGCAAAACTCCTTGTACGATTTCGCTGTTGTGTTTTTCAACATGAGTAATGAAGGATATTGTATTATGTATTCGTACTCTACATTTCTTCAGAAAATTTAACATGAATCAAAAAGATATACATGACTTTACTGTATATTGTGAAAACATTGTTCGATTAGTTCAAGTCACAACAATGAGTAGTGACTGGAAATGGAGATCATGAAACATTGCAATAAGATCCTAATATGATTCTAAATGTCATTCTAATATATTCTAATATGATTTTAGATGTCATTCTAATATATTCTAATATGATTCTAAATGTTGTTCTAATATATTCTAATATGATTCTAAATCTAAAATTCTAATATGATTCTAAATCCAGATGTTGATTATGATTCTAAATCCTAATATGATTCTAAATCCAGATAGGGAAGCATTTTCTGTTAGCATCATTATCACTCATTTTCCTTCACTTGAGTTTAAATTTCAGGCATGGGAAGACCGCCAGGTAAAATAACATCTGGAATTGTAATGATATGTTCACTGTACTTGTTCAAATATTAAAAAAGTATTCGTTATTGATATTGGTATTATTTTGATTTTTTAAAAATATTGAATACAAAGATAGATTGGACAAGGTAGATTGAAATTAAAACTCTTCTTAAATGTTTCAGAACAGTGTTTTTATCGTGATATTATCGGTATTATTTTTTCAGTATCGGTATTTTTTCAAATGAATACTACTAATAGCCTTCAGAGGATTGAATGAAACGTTTCCAGTGCTTTGTACCATGATTGTATCACTCTTTGGAACTCATTATATATGTTGCAAAAATGTGGTCCTTGTTCGTCACATGCATGTGTGATGTGTGTTGTGTTTTTGCTAAATGAAGCAATAGTAATTACTATATAGGGATAAGAAATTACGGACACAGTATATAACTAAGCCAAAACATTGCTATTGTTAGTTAAGCGAAAAACACACCACAATATTTCATAATATTTCATAAGGACCACAATATTTCATAATCATGAGTTATATAATTATGAGTTATAAAATCAAGAATTTTTTCATGATTTTGCGCGCTCAATCCAGTTATTGAGCACGCGGGATGTTGGGAAAGCACGAAAAGCGCAAGAGTTGGTCGAGGCGCTAGGCGAATATTAGCTTTAAACTTGTGTTCCGTTACACATGATTTGGTTAAAATAAATCAATTGTCTGTCAAAAGTAAATGGCTGAGTGTTTTTATTCAACAGGTTATATTTTATTGGTTAAAACAATGGAAAATTTTGTAAAAATTCTCGAGAAAATGTTTCCCAAAAACGAGGTAAAAATTTCCCGCGCTATTTTGCCGTGCTCAATCGAGTTATTGAGCACGCATTTCAGCCAATCAAAACTGACGTTCTTATATAACATGCATATTATAATAATGATTGACATGTTCGTTCAATAATATTTTTTCGTTTTTATGATGATGGTGATGAAAAGGAACTGGAATGGTGAGTCTTCAATCATAATATTACTTAGTATAGAAGGTATTAACTATAGGACGGTAATGTGCGAGGGCACGACCGCCAAGCTTTTGAATGGACCAATCCCCAATTAACCAAAATTTTGATCTCAACAAGTCTGGACAAAATTCCATCATAGCATGAAAGAGCATCACAAAATTAGTAATATTCCAAAGTTTCGTTGCGAAATGTTGTAAAATGCGGATAATATAGCCTTGCGAAATTTGCCATTTTCGCAAGGCTATATTATCCGTATTTTACAACATTTCGCAACGAAACTTTGGAATATTACTTATTTTGTGATGCTCTTTCAAGCTGTGATGAAATTTTTGTCTAGACTTGTTGAGTTCAAAATTTTGATAAATATGGGATTGGTCCATTGTGCACTGACATATTTTAAAATCCTGACTATATAACAATAATGACTATGTAATTAACAATTATTCGCCGAAGGCGAGGTGATTATCGGTGAATAAAAACCGAGACGAAATCGAGGTTTTTATTCACGATAATCACCGAGCCTGAGGTGAATAATTGTTTTAGTATAATTTCATAGGTGATTATTTAGAAAAAAATTAAAAATACACATTTCTTCGTCATTTACGGCTTCGGCCGCCATTTCGAAAATCGCTTAGGTGATTATCGCGTCATAATCACCTCAACGGCAACCAATCAGCGTGGATAATTGTCAATAATCACCAATGTAATTATACAAACAAAAGATAATTTATGCATTTTTGTAGACACATTTTAAAGTTATGAATTTTGTTCGTTATAGGCACTAAAAATACTATTGAGCCCTGTATATCCTATTTCAAATATCCAAATGATCCCCGGTTCCGGTTTACGCGGGTACGGGTATCGCCATTTTGTTTACCAAATTTTGCTGATGTCAGCATGTTTACCAGTAATTTCTACCCGCTTGCCCGCGGTAAACCATGGTCTACACGTAAAAGACAAACTGGTGTTTTCTGTTTATTATTTGTAGTAAAAGTAGTAAAATTCAACATCTTACCTAAGTAAATCAATGCACATTTGCTCGTCAAATATTTCCCAAATTTATGCTGAACCTCAACAGCAAAAGATGCTAATCTCCGATCGGTTTTCGTACCCCGGAATATCACTCGTACCCCGGAATATCACTCGTACCCCGGAATATCACTCGTACCCCGGAATATCACTCGTACCCCGGAATATCACTCTTACCCCGGAATATCACTCGTACCCTGGAATATCACTCGTACCCTGGAATATCACTCGTACCTGTCAACCGACATACTAATGTAAAACCCCCAACATTGTAGGTACCAGGAAGTGCCAGACCTGGAACACGTGGTGGAGATGGTGGAATGGGAGGTATATTATTTAACAACGGATTTGTCTCTCATTGCTTTTAAGGATTATAAAATTTTGGAAAAAACAATTTAAAATTTGTTTGTATTCACTTAACACGGAAGCGTATGCACATTTAAGGTAATTCCGCAGTAATTGTTCCCGAAATGAGAATGTGCTGAAACTTCCCAGGCATGGAGTTTATGATATACTTAAAGTAAAATCACACAAAAAAGTCGGGGTCACCGAACTCGTTAAGAAGATATGACAATCACAATATACCACCTTTACCCCAATATGGCGCCATCTTGACGCTCATTACGAGTAACAGCAAAATCACAACAGCCCGATATTTATTGACGTTTTTAGCGCGGATTCTGCTTTAGTAAACCTATCTTGTAATTATTTTTGAAAAAATATTGTGTTTTGAGCAAAATGAAACTACTAACGTGTACAATTCTGATCTATAAATGTCTTTTCTACATTTCTTTACATATTTTTCTTGGAGAACATGCATTGATAAAGGATTTTTTCAAGATCCAGAAATGATTTTTCTTTTAATTTCGGATATGAAATGTAAAATGCATTAAAGAAATAAATTATCAGTTAAAAAACGGGGGTCACCGACCTTTTTAGGGAATTGTGGCATTAAAACGTGAAATACAAGTAAATAAATATACTACAGACACAGGGAACCCTAGCTACACTTTTGTATGCCTTTTTTGAAAACATTGATTTTAACGTAATTCTTTGCACGAATGTAACCAAAGATGTTTTGAAGTTGTCATAAATTTTTTTATGAAATTTTTTTATAAAATTTTATAAGTTATAAGATGTGCGCAGTAAAAGTGCGCAATGCAAAACTGCGGAATTACCTTAAAGAAGCCAAGTGTGTTTTTTGCAACTTTGCTAGCAGGTGCTAAAGTTGCACAGGTCCTAGCTTTTCGAAGAATCCCGTTCGTACCTTGCCTGTATTTGGATCTTATAATTATATTTTTATTATAACATTATATGTATACATTTAATCCAAATAAATTTGTTAAAATGAAGACCGTCAAGCCGCTAACAAATGGGTTGCTTATCATGCATATAGGCTACGTCCACCCTTTTTCGAAAACGAAAAGTATGGATACAACGTACTATACTTGAAAAATACAAGGAGAACTTCGACGTTTCGAAGTTCGTAGGGGAAATTTTCACAAGTATAAAAGCTCATGTAATTTTTCCGTGGCCTACGCTTGAAAGTTTCCTTCGCTTGTATTTTTTATTTTTTCAGCTAGTCGTATCCCTAGAACGGTATATACAGACCGTTCAAAATATGTGTACCCACAGTTAGTAGCGTTTTCGGATCGTTTTCCACCGCCCTCACTAGCATTGAAATACTCATTTCGTCGTTAACGTTCAGCCTAGTTCATGTTGTTCTGAAGCATTTCAGCACGTGGAACCCAGGAACAAAATAAGAACAGTGAAAAGACTGGGCTGGTGAACGTTAATAATGGAAAGATCCTGGAAAGCATGCACTCATGGAAATCAACAGAGAAAGACGCAAATCCTTAGTGTTAGTCTCACTGAAATTATTCGCCGATGAACATGTAGGCTTATAAGGGCTTTGCAATGTTAGAGGTCTATTAACAATAACCCAGGGCCCAGTTGTTCAAAGCACGATTAGCGCCAACCTTGGGTTAAAATTTAACACGTTTTGGTTTGCGCATTTCCGCGTGGTTTGTTTTAAAAATTAGAAAATAGAACTTTTAATGATCCAGACAAGATTACTGGGAAAATATTTCTAAGTTTACAAATTAGCTGTTGAGAAATTTTGTGTAACGTTTTATGTACTTCTAACTTATATCGGTTTAGAAGGTAACCGACTTTCGAACAACCGGTCCCAGGACATGCAGTTTTGAACATCCTGTTGTCTTGTTGCTTGCAGATTAGTTGTGAACAATATATATTCACTTTGAGACTAGCAGTTCAGCTGAAATCGGAGCAAACAAAACATACTGACATTAGCACGTTTACTATACGTATGATTGTGTTCATGACGTCAGTGTTTTTGTTGCTCGTCCACATTCAAATCTGAAACGCCTTCGTTTTCAAAATCTCCACTGCATTTCAAAGCCATTTTCGAAAAGCTTGTTTTCATGGATGAAAGTATCCTTTCCCCATCGTATGGGTGGACAATCAGTGAAAACGCATATACATGTACAAACGTACATGAATGCTTATCGTTTAAACCGTATAGGAACCTCCGCTCGTGCTCCGAATGTTAGAACGTTGGAAAGCAAAAGCGCTAGTTGCCTACGCCGGCTATAGATTTCTTTATTTTGAAAGATGAACATTTTCCTTTCAGCTTTGAACTCTCAGATCAGAGTGACTGACCGTCCAATGACAAGACAAGGTATTGGTATTGCCACCGGAGCAAAAGGTACGAATCTTGTTTTGATGAGAAATTCTGTCATAAAATACAATACAAAAGATAAGAACCGTTCAAAATGGTTCAATTGTGTCGCTTACATGTGAAAATGTCCCGAAATGACACGCAATAACTTGTGTACACAATTTTACCAAAATGCAATCCTAATCCAATGGCAATGTTATCATCAGCTGTGATTTGGAATAGGACCATGCAGGGTTTTATGTGATAATTAAGGATAAGCATAAGCGATCTGGATATAGCAAGGATTACGTAATTGCTATATGAGAGTTAGGATATTGGTAAAGATTATGGTTAAAGTTTTGAATAAGTGCCCGAAATATAGTTACGGTTAACATAGGTTGTGATGGCGCTGTCAGAGCAAGCGTCTTACATTTCTTAGATTGCATGCATGCATGTGGGCTTGATTCTTGCTGCGGACTTATAATACTATATAATGTGAAGACGCTGTACCAAAAGTCATATATTGTCCTGGCTACTCCATGCAGTTTCCTCCAACACGGCATGTTTACAGGGTGGGTTGGGTATCCTATGCAAACTAACCCTTCCATCATAGCTGTGCTCCATGGCCACCCTTAGTAATGCAAATATTCGAGTCGATCTATCCATGCAGGTCGAGCTGTGTCCTTCGTATAATTCAGCTCAGTTCTCAGCTGCGAGCGAGGATGATTAGCACACCCCACTTACTTACCAGTTCAGTACATCTTGCTATTCGTTATTTTCATTGAAACGTAGGCCCACACAGACAAGTGCAAGACAAGTCTTACTTCATGGGACAGCTAAGGTATTGTATACCCATATATCTTGAGTGTTGAATTGAACAATATTAAAGACCTCTAATTAAAGACGTTGGTTGAAAGATACAATTACTGTACCAGAAAAATATACGCAAAAGTACTGCTAATTAAGCCCTGGTCAAACGAGAGTGAGAGTTGATGAGAGTTGGCAGTCACGCAGTGTTACAGAGGACATTTCAAGCTCTAGATTAACAAAATAAATGTTTGATAAGTGTTCCAACTATACGTATACATTTTAACTTGAATAAAGAACAATACATTATATAATAACGTTAGGAATTCAAGCGCTTTCATTGGTCGAGAGCCATGGTCAAAGCCTTATCCAATAGCATTCCCTTATTTGTATAGATCATGTACGCGTGATATTTGTAAAATTTTGACTTTTTCAAATTTCCAAATGTTTGAGTGGATAAAAAGTAAGCTATTTACTTGTTTAATTCGGGGGTTTTCTTTTTATTATATAAAACAAATAGATAAGATTTTACCGTTGTCCGTTCAGTTATAGATACACAGCATATATATATGACATCATAATGTGTGGGAAGACCAAAAAAGTGACCCGCCTCGGCGGATCGTGAACCACTTTTTCGCTCTTCCCACATTATGACGTCATACTGTGTATCAGTGTGTATCTATAACTGAACAGAACGGCAAAATCTTATCTATTTGTTAAATAGATAATGTTGTTTGCATGTACGTAAGTATTAAGAACAGCCAGCCCTGGAACAGCTAACCAAAGGTCGCGTGATTACTAACTCGCATAACTCGCATGCATACACTCTTATCCTTGTTTGATGCGTGCTTACTAGTACTTTTTTCTACATTTTTCATGTAATTGCACACTTCAATTAACCCACTTCTTGAACATTGTAACTGTATGCCCATTTTAATGTGTTGTTAGTTTGCACTACAGTACATATGTCTTTTTCACTTCCTATACTAGAGCGAAAGTTTCAGAAATGACAACCGAGATAGCAAGAATGCAGAAGGATGTTGATAAATACTCTCAGGAACATGAAACGTATCTAACTTACGAGAAAAGGTAAAATATATGCCTGATTCTGCTTGCCAGGTTAAGTCGTCGCGACAATATTTCGTTCACTTAAAGACTCACTACCATTCCTCGTTAACTCGACAGTTCAATGGCTAGAGTGGCGGCCTAGAAACACGAAGATGCGAGTTTGAATCTCGCACGAGATAACGAATTTTTCGTTGTTCTCTGCAGTGTCAGAATAATATGAAAGTGTGAAAGTAGTTTTTCATATCTCTGAGGATGGTTCTGAAATGGAATTGAAACACTGCATGCGCGTCCTCCAAGACAAGCTACCATTCCTCGTTGACTCGAAAGCTCAGTGTGTAGAGGGGCGGTCTTCAAACCCAAAAATGCGAGTTCGAATCCCGCTCGAGGCAACACATTTTTCGTTCTACTCTGCAGTGTCAGAATAATATGAAATATGAAATAGGGTTCTGAAATAGAATAGTAAATTACCAGTTCTCGTCGTTATGCTAGATAGTAAACATGCAGATACTCATATCGTGGCTATCATTAAGGACCAGTAACCAGGGGTGGATTTATAGGGGGGGGGGGTGCACAGGGCACGCACCCCTGTTGGCCTTGGTCAACCGAGGTGCAAGGGGTGCAAAAAAATCAAATTCAGAAATATGGCATAATTTCCAAGGTTTTTCCTTTTTTGAAGTCAAACTGAAGCTCATAATTCAATGCCTATGCATATCGCAGGAAATGGCGTTTCTAGTGTTCTAATTTTCAAAATTCTCGAAATTTGGTATGGCAAATTGAGGGAAAAAAATGTTTTCCCTAAAAAGTTGTCGACGGGAGGGTGGGGGGAAGTTGTTGTCCGGAAAAGTTTTTTTAATAGGGGACCCTGAGCAGCACCCCCTAGAAAAACTTTGCTGGATCCACCCCTGCCAGTAACTGGTCAAACGTGGGACGTTTTATAATCTTCAGAAACAAGAGATGGCATTTCAGGGTGTTTAGATTTCGGGGGGCACCCAGACCTCTCTAGGAGTCTTGCGCCTAATTCTGCGTTCGATTACCATATTATACCTTTGGGCGCAGAATCGAGGCTTGGGATTTGGCGTTATCTGTAATTGTGTTACATTACATCTGAGTTTGTTTCCAGGCTGACTGTGGAAAATTTTACAAAATGTTCTTCGACTATCGGTACACAGTGTGACGTCATAACGTTCTAAGGACAAAAGGTGTCCCAAGAGCGCTGGGCGAGTTAGTAATCTTCTTGGGCGGGTAATGATCTTACCACATCATGACATTATTTGTTTATAGAGCGGAAAGTTTGGCCTCCGAGATAAAAGATCTTCAAGGACAACTGGCGGACTATAATACAGTACGTGTACACATTTACAGTACATGTTATCTGTAGGCAATATGAAGTCTAATATACTGTATTAACTGATCTAAACTGTCATATTTTTGTATTATTTCAATGTTCATTAATCCCAGTTCTCTTTTCCTAGCTGTTGGATAAACTAAACACTGATTCTGATATGGATGAAATCATTCAAGAACATGATGCGGTACGTCCAATAATAAGAACGTGCATAGCTCTCTCCCTGCTGGAGAAACCAGCCATACATCTTTAAGAACGTTAACGTAGACCTATGGCGATTTTAGATGTGAAAAAAGGTTATCTGATTATATTTACCAAAAACCTTGAATCTGCCCCCAAACAGTTCCTAACTGATAAATAAATAAATAATAAGAAAAATTGATGTCACTCTTGCCTTGACTTTTATGTATTGAAATAGAGATTAACCGCTTGCTCTTTCATGCCTTTTCTCGTCCGATATAGTGTCTAGACGTTTTTGACTCTTGTTTTTAGATCAAAGCCAGCAATGACAGAGAAAGAAAGTCAATAGACGATTTGTTCATGAAACGACAACAGTAAGTGACTATAGCCATGCAATTGAATTAAGGGGGGGGGGGGAGGGTTGCGATTTTAATTTACTACAAAATTTAATTTACAGGGAAAAATTCTTCCTACTAAGTACGTTAGACACTGAAAAAGCCTGTAGTGGTTGTTTTATTCATATCAATTCTGTTCTATAGCTGTGCAATTTAATTTAATTTAAATTGTACAGTGTTTTTAATCCCAGGAATGAAATTTCCTTTCTGTGGAATTGTGTCCAAAAGCATAAAAAACCCACTCCTTTTAGTTTATTTTTAGCCGCGCTAACACCAAAGTATTACTACAACGTACGTTAGATAACATTTTCTTGTCTATCGTCAGAACGTTTTAATAGTCAACGATATAGTTATCCAATTTTCTTTCTAACCTATTAAGTCTAAAAACTGGCAAATCGACCACTTTACTCTAATGTCGAACTATTTTACTTCATCTAACGCCCGAAGACTTTACACCCGAACGTGTCCCTCCAACACGAAACCAAGTCACTTCTCGTGAAATAGGAGACTGTTCATTTCATTTCTCTAGAGCAACAACTTGCACTTAAATGATTCTGTATTTGATTCCAACTGCCTCATGATCTCACTGTATGTGTGTGTGTATGTGTTGCAGTACTTTGCTTAATGCCACAGAGACCGTACAGACGTCCGACTCAGCCAAATTGCCATGATTCGTCATCAAAATTCACTCGCGATGTTCCTAACCAGTGCACTTACGAGAGGCATTCACCCTCTGAACGTCCACAACACCAAGAAGTCGGCCTTGTGTATAGTTTGTATTCTGTGATAATGCTCTCAGTGTCCCAATATTTAATTGAACTGTTACTGTCCATAGAAAAGAAGAGCAAATCAAAGAACTCCAACTTGAAATAGACCAGGAAAATAGGATGGCAGAAAACCTGGTACAAGGCATGGTAAGTACCATGGAATTGTATTCGTTTCAGCTGTTAATAAAATGTCTTTGGCATAACAAACTATATATGATGTAAGAGAAGAGAATGTTTGTATGCCCATGGTGAAAATATTTATATAATATTTTTTTATTATACAATATATTTTTATTATATTTATATATTTTTAAAAATATGTTTTATTTATATTTATATGTAAATATTTTTTTATTATTTATATTTATATTTTTTATTATACAATATTTAACAATTATTCGCCCAAGGCGAAGTGATTACCAGTGAATATTCACCGAGACGAAGTCGAGGTGAATATTCACCGTAATCACTGAGTCTGAGGCGAATAATTGTTTTAGTATAAATTTTTAATGAATAAAACAAAATATCCGAATATCAGTTCAATTAAATTTCAGAAATAAAACTGTTTTCGGCCTGTTCACTAATACTGTAATAGTGTTGCAGTGTTTCTTGTACACGCACACGCTTTCAAAACGGCTTCTTGTGTGACTTTATTGCTTTATTACAAAGTTGTTTTTCTCGATTTCTGTTTGGAATGAAACACAATAACGGAATGACTCTTTCACCAGAGTTTCTGTTTAGCATTAATTTCTTCAGGAAATGGCTGAGGAATTTGGTAAAATGAAATGTAAAATTATATCGTTCGAAATAAAGTTTCAATAATAAGCAATTATTGGATGAGGCTGAGCATGATATCAAGAATTATTCAGACCGAGGTCAATGTTATCTGCCGAAGCGAAGCTGAGGCGGATAACATAGACCGAGGTCTGAATAATTCTTGATATCATGCGAAAGCCTCATCCAATAATTGCTTATTATTGAAACTTTATTTCGAACGATATATTATACATTTAAAGACATGAGAAACGTATAAATCGATTCCTGTTCATGAGGTAGGAAAAGTACAATTTGAATATCAAACACCTTGCACAAAGTCAAAGGTCAGCTAAATATTCTATTTCTACTTCTATTTACCCCTTTGTGACTTTTTTCGTGCTTTCACTATCCTTATCTGCCAATAATTTGGAGAGTTCACTTTCATTCAGCGAAGCAAATCTGCTGTAGGCCATTGTTTGTTTGTTATAGGTTCAAGCTTTTGGCCGCGCAAGGGTTTGGGCACGAGAGAGTCCAATAATTTTTTTTTTGGATGCAAGTTCGATCCAAAAAAACAATTATTGGACGCTGATGACGTCATCGGCGGAGAATACGTAATAAATGCCGAATACTGAAAGTTAGCCGGTGCTTTCTGACCAATTAGAAACGAGAATACATATTAAATGTATAATAACACTTTTTACTTTACAAGTTTCGAAAACACAATAGTACAATACATCGTCTCAAGACACCATAGAGCACAATGAAAACACGACATATCAAAAGAAATAGTATCGTACAAATTGAGATATTTATAGGATACAAAACAAAATTGTTTGAAAAAGAATATCACGGCTTTTCCCAACAGTTGGGGTTGAAGCGAATGTTTCGGAGTTTTAAATAAGTTTTAAATTGTCCGTGAATATGTTTGACACAGTAAAATAATAAAGAAATCCTACCTTTCAAGTTAATTACAACATTTTGTGTTTCTTCCGTTTTCTGGGACGATTTTTTCAATATTTTGTCGATTTTGAAACCAAATTTGCCGAGTCATTCTATTTGAAAAGCATTATTTACTACCCAGGTGGTAAATAATGCCTCAGATTTACTAGTCGACTAGCCAATCAGAACGCGCGAAAGCTCATTTGAGATGCAAAATTTATACTAAATTTTATTATACAATATATTTATTATACAATATATTATATATAATATTTTTTTATTATATATTTTTTATAATATATTTAAACTACTATTTATAGGCCCAAGTTACACACGATACCGGATTCGTATCGGAGCGACATCAATTTAAGGTGTTTTCCAGTCTTTTCTGCTCTTACAACTTTTCATATTTGAAGTTTGTGACAAATTCTGTTATATTATAATTTTGAGTGCTAAACTCCCCTTGAAACTGTAAAATTTGATGTCGCAGGGTTCGTAGCGGTCTTTGAAATCCTTGCATGAAAGTCTTTAAATTTGAATGCAGGTCTTTAAGGTCTTTGAAAAGTCTTTGAATTGTGTGAAAAAGCGAAGAAAGTCTTTAAAAGTCATTAAATTCTTCAGTGAGTATTTGATTATACGATTTCCTAGCTAATAAAATAGATTGATTGAAGCAAGATTTTCGCAAATGTCGACGAAAAGCGCATTTTATGATGTGGATAAAAATGGTGCTCACACTCGCAATGTTTCGACAGCTGATTGCTCTCAAAGGTCTTTGAAAAGTCTTTGAAAATAGGCAGAAAAAATATTTGAAAGTCTTCGAATTTTTTTGGTCTTGGAGACTACGAACCCTGTGTCGCTCCGATGCGAATCCGGTATCGTGTAACTGTGGCCTTAATAAACGTCACAAAGCGAAATTGGTAAAAGGAATGTATAACATTTTATTTTGTATTTCAGTCAGAATCGATGAAGCAAAAGTACTTGAACTTGAAGAAAAAGAATGGCAGTCTTCAGAAAGTATGTCACCTTTACCGTCACCGCGATAAATGAACCTGCAATATACCTGACTGTAGTTAAATATATGTAACTACAAGTATTTTGCAGATATTAGGAGAAGTTAGGGAGCCATGGAGCGGCGCTACCTGCTTAGTCGTGAGAGGCTAACTCCAAATTGTGAGCATTGGCTACCTCCACAAAAGTAGAATCTGCAGGCATACAGTTCGTTAATAATATATCACCCCTCAAGTTTTCTCTTAAAAACATAGCCGAGCCTCTAATTAACACACACCAATGAGGAACATTTCAAATGCCATTGTAATGAGCGTTGTACGCTGTGTCAACAAACCGTTATCGTGAGCAAGTATTTATTTTTCATATTTTTTTTGTGCACAGGAGCTGGATGAAAAACAGCAACAACTAGACAGAGTGACGACAAAATTGCAAACACTTGAAGAGGTTTGACTTTATTTTTCAGATTGCGAACAGTGCGTTGTAATGAATTTTATATTGTTGTAAAACTTTATCTTAAGCAGGGTTCCCAATTTGGAGTAGGAGGCATTTGACAGAAGTAGGCGGCTATGTGGTGCCGAAGGTACCACTTCGCTTCGGATTCGAGGGCGTCTCTCTCTCTGAAATTTAAACCTGAGGTTTTGGAGGTTTTTCCAAATATTTAACAAGGACCAAATATTTAGTAAAATTTATGTTAGAAAAGCAGGAAACGTTTCACTTGACATTTCTGTGCATGGTAAGGAGGAAATATTTTGGTTTTAAATTTCGTGAAATAACCGGCGATTGTCTGGGTTACAGATGGCGAAAACCGCCGGGTGCCGGCTTCAGTTTGGAAGCCTGTTAAGACTGCAGCTTTCATAACATCGTGTTTATTATAACAAACATTTTAACAAGTGAACGCAATGTTTTATTTTAGGAAGTAGCATCTTCTCCTGTCAAGCAAGAAGCGGGTAAGCTAAAATATAATCTGCCATGTATATGTTTCAGCCAAAGTCAAAGAGATACTGCATATAAATAAAAAACCTCTCGCGATGTTTCGAGCTAAGGCCCTTCGTCAGGGTAAGCTGAAATGTATATAATTGTCCACACTGAGTTGCTTGGTGAATAACTGATTCGAAGAACTGGTTGTGACTGAGCTGATTAGGTTATGCAGTCGATATAGGTTTATCCACACACCATGCATATATTGGCATCACATTAGTATTTGTGGTTAGAGCTCGACAGCTGTCTCTCTGTAGTTCAGTTGGTTAGAGCACTGCACCGGAATCACAGGGCCGCAGGTTCGATTCCTACCAGAGGGCCTATACTTGCATTTTTCACAACTGCTTCTGGTTAGGTCTAAATAAATGTATACTCACAATTTACACTCAAAATTTCCATCTACAAATCCCTTCAATACTGTAGGTAGGTCTATAGATAAATCTTAACAAACCTATATTCCAATAGAAAGTATACATTTCCGCAGTCTCTATTTCTTTAGGGTTAACCCCTTGGGTTAATATTTCTACAGGTTTAACCCCTCATTAATCTCTCTAATTCTCCGGATTAATCCCTCGTTAACCCTTATAATCCTCCGGATTAACCCATCGTTTACCCCTGTATAATCCTATGGGTTGCAGGGCACGTTACCAATAAAATGAGTTGATCTGACTTTATTTGTTTGATGAGATAATATAAGTTGACGTAATATATCTCCAACTATTAAGTATTGCTGATGTTGTTGAAGGACTATATGAATGAGAGAATAACATAGAAAGCTATCAACATGACACCTGAGCAGTATTTATCGATTTTCTTTTGTAGTCACTTTATATGAAAAAATCCATGAGTTGGAGGAGAAAAAGCAAAGTTTAGTTGATGAGGCGAACAGCAAAGGCACACCAGCGGAAGAAAGAGAAAAACTCTTGAAACAGGTATCGTGCATGAGAAAACGGTTAATTTGAACACCTCAGGAGAATTGGGTTAATAAAAGGTTAATTTCAACTTAAAATTATTATGTTGTAATTTTTTAGGTGAAAGATGATAACGAGGAAATCCGATCAATCGAGAAAAGGTAAGTTATTGTCTTTCTGCACATTATCTTTGGTAAACCTCATTTTGTATATATGCCTCTGCCGCAGTGATGAGCACTATAAGGGCACGAACTGATTAACCAACTAGACCTACAGTAAAGCCTGCTGTATTAATTGAGCAAATGAGTATTAAATTTGGGCGATCTAAAAGGTGTAAAGGATGGAATTCGTGGGAATGTGTTGGAGATCAAAGGCTATGTTCACACGAGGCCGGATGAATTCGTTTATGGGCAGTATCATTCTTACTCTGAAACAAAGGGAAAATTGTTTTCCTATAAGCAATCCATGCAGTATACTCCAATCATGCAAATTAAAGAAAATAGATAACATTGACCTGACCCTAAAACAACCCTAAAGCTAACCGTTATTGAAGTCTTTAGACGTAAGAAGGTTCAGTGATGGTTATGGTTCAGGGTTGCTTTAGTGTTTACATCATCAATCGTTATAATGTTAATGGAGTTCTCCTACTCTATATAGGATTCAGGAAATAAAGGAGAAGGCGAGGTTGACTTCAGACGAGTTACAACAGGTTGATATGGACTTGGAGGAAAATCAAGGTGAATATTTTACTTATTTAGAGACCGATCATTAATCAAAGTGGATATTTACCTGATGCAATGGGTTTCTTTCATAAACACATTACTGGTGAATTAATACTATAAATACAACAGCTTTAAATAACTGGTTTATGTACTGTACAAACAGTTGAATTTTTGTACAACAAACAAATTCACGGAATCTGAACTACTATACCTAGATTCATTCCATCGCCTTAATGATCACTAGTATTATCATCATTTGGGAAGGGTCACAATAAATTCATTTTATTCAAAGGGGAAAAAAAAAGTTAAACCTTCATTCCTCATTTGACTGGTTTCCACATGTATAGACTATAGCATGATGTAACAATCATGTTGTATGGCAAATGCATTTTTAGCCAATCTGGGACACCTGATTTTCAAAATATTCTGGGGGAGCACGGACCCCCCTGATAGCGTCACCTAGTAGTCCCCTCTATTTACATATCTATTTACCTTAGGATCAGACCCTTCGTGCATGTTATTTAAATTAGTTTTATGTTCTGCCATCAGCCTGCCGTGGCCCTCAATGAATGTGAATTTGTTTCCAGCAATTACAGTGAAGGTTTTTTTGCCTACAGGTGAACGAAACCAGAAGTATCTTGAGCTAAAGAAAAGAGAGGAGACAATGCAAGGTATGACGTCATCATTAACGGTTGAAGCACAAAACAAACACGTACAGAAGTCCGAATGCATAATGACGTCACAAGGCTTGATGCCCGCGAGGAATCCTGGTCTTAGTTGTCATTGTTTAATTTTACCGGGCGATGACTACTAAGACCAGCATTCCTCGCGGGCATCAAGCCTTGTGACGCATTATGCATAAATGTTGAAATTCTCAGGACGTTTGACCATCATCTGTTGACCAGTAACGCTAACTAAAGCCCGTGCACCTGTCAATTTGGATCTCATATAAAGGATATAGAGAATGATACATCGGTGCGCGGAAATACCAGATTTATTTCGATTGTTGAACATGATATCTCAAGAGTGAGCGCAGCGAACGAGTGAGGTATTATGTTCAACACGAGAAATAAATATATTTCCAAGCATCCATGTATTTTTCTGTTTATTATATAAAGGACAGTCTTCGAAAAGCGATAATTTTTACAGAAAATTGATAATTGAAAAACGATAATTTTCACATGAGAAATTATCATAAATAATCTCACATGTGAGATTATCAGTTTTTGTCAGTGCTCTCTATAAAGCACTATACTTTATATAATAGTGAAATCTCTATAAAGTACTATACTTTATATAATCAAGCATGTTAATTTGGATTTATATATGTGACGTTTTCTAGAGTTTCTTGATTCCTTTGAGGAAAACAAGAAGAGAGAACTGGTAAGCATGTAAAGAACTGAATTCGTTTAAAGTTCGTTTTCTTTTGTTCACGCGAAGCAGAAAAATAAATTTTGCGTGGTTCAATTCATTGTGATTGGTTAGCGAAAAAAGTCGCCGCAAATAATTCAGAACCATGCATGCTCCTATGTCACTAGCTCGACAACTGGCCTCTGTAGCTCAGTTGATTAGAGCGCTGCCCGGAATCGCAGATTCGATTCCTGCCAGGGACCAGGGCCGCCGAGAGGGGGGGGCAGGGGGGCAAATTGCCCCGGGCCCCGAGGTGCTGGGGGCCCCTGAAAAATTTTTGTTGGGCCCCAGCCTTTTTTGTGTGTTAAATATTTCCGCGCAAAAGACAAGATATCTGTTTTCTTGGGCTAAGTACCGAATTTTGGCATAAAAAATGAGATAAAGTCCCTCGAAAGCAATTGCAACGCCTCGTCCGGAAAAATTTTGTACTCCGGAAAATTTTTTTTACCCCTAAAATGGTACACTGACCGAAATTTTTTTGGCGACGGGGGGGGGGTATGGGAGGTTGTTCTCCGGAAAAAAAATTTTCCGGGAAAAATTTTTTAGATAGGGGCCCTTAAAAAAAAATTTGCCCCGGGCCCCCGCGAACCTCTCTGCCGCCCTGGCAGGGACCTGTAATTCGCAACTGTTCCAGGTTAGGTCAAATAAATCATATAAATGTATATAAATTTCCCATCTACAAGACCCTTCAACTATTATTGAATCGAGTAAGATGCCAACAAAATCTCGATATTTTTAGAATACTAAATTCGTTCGAGGGACTAGTGATTGAAACATTTTATTGTGATATATCAGTATGCATTATCATGCATCTTATATGCATTATTGAGTGTGATTATATCCACATGTTTAATTGATTGTTAGAACCATTGTAATATTTAGGAACGCACGTCACAGCTAGAAGGAAATATCATGTCAATTCTGGAACACATGAGCAGGGTAAAATTTCTCATTATTTTACAGTTAATGTTAGGTCAAGATAAACTTTTCATGCCTGGATATTTTGAGCCACTGCACTTTTGCAATTATTGCCAATATTTTAATAAATATACATTTTGTGTTTTAATTTAAATTAACGCTAAACTATACTTAATCTTGATGTAACTATACTATAATTTTTCCCCACAGAGGATGATCCGTTCTAAACATTTGCCAAGTGTTGGCGAGCTGAAACAAATGCAGGTATAATGCAAGTTTCTCATCTTATAGTTGTTTCTCAATCAGCAACGAACTTCATACGTACACTTCGTATTTGTTGGTTTTATTTCTAGGCTGATTTAAACTTCAAAGAAAATGAAATGCAGAGATCTCAAAATACATCACATTCGTTACAGTCAGGTATTCTGTATTTTCTATATTTATCAACGCTCTATATATTAAGGATTAAATATGAACACATTATGCACACTGCCTCGTACCCAGGCGTCTCTTTGTAAAAAAATAGCGATGCGCATATGACGAGTTTACATGAAGCATTGTAGTGGCGAGAGAAAGGCGAAGGGGCTGATGGGAAGAGTTACATGTACAATTCTGGGGAAAGTTGTACGAAGGCCGGATAGCTGCACCATCCACCGCTTGTGACTTATACTGGGTGAGATGCCTAGAAATACGGAAATTTTCCCCTCATCTTTATTTCAACTATTCTTATTTGTCGTTACTCAATTATTGTTCTTTATAGAACATGAACGACTGCAACTGGATTTGGACAAAGTCCAACAGGTACTGTATATATAGGACTGATGAACAGTGCTCTTGAAATTTGTATATGCATATGCATAGTTAATATGATTAATAACAGCACCTGAAATAGACAACGTCTAACCGCCGGTACTTTCGGAGTGGGGGCATTAATGTTTATTTCTGGGGGGGGGGGGGCGTTATTTGGGGAAAATGTCACATGGTCAAACAGTGAACCTTACGTTAGCAATCCTGAGGTATGCAAAAGCTCGATAAGCATACCTATACACATGCTCAGACCACTCACTAGCAAGTAGGAAAATGATGTTTTGGAGAAAAATTTCAACATGCAACCAAAGAAACATTAGAGACGTTCAGATAACCTGGTTCAACCTTACGGATATAGGTATAGCGTCGTTTTGTTAAGCAATCAATTTGTCAATGTCTGTATGGTTTGCTCGTAATTACCGTAAACCTTCGCAGTAAACCATTTAATCATCCTGAGTCGACAGAAAAACTATGATCAAATGTGCGAACAGTGAAAATTGCTAACAACGTGACGCTACCCGACCCGGAACGGCCGTATTAAGATACACCGATCTAATGCCAAACTGACAACTGGACTACAGCAGTGGCGGGCACTTTGCGAAATATTGGGGTGCGAGTATTTAGAAACAAATGAATTGAATTGAATTCAAAAGTATTCAAGTAGAACTGTCATGATCTCATCTTTGAATTTTGTGAAATGACATGGTATTATCGGTATCGGGAAAATATCGGTCCTTCAATATCGGTTATCTGAATATCGGTGAATTTCCATATCGGTGCATCACTAGAATTAGGTTGCCAACTTATGACCACCTTTTGTAGCTGTATGAAATCTTAGTTCTTTAAATTTTATTTGCCTTAAATTTCATGCAATACTTAGCATGGCTAAGGTGGCTCGCTACAGTTCATAGAAATGTTGAAAATGCGTAAACTAGATCACCTTTTTGAAAAGATGATGCTCTTTACAAATCGAAATTTGTATATTATATATACAGCGACAATCAAACAGTCGACAATTGGTCAGAAAAGTGACGTCACCACTGTTGCTATGGCAACAATGACGATTCAAGATGGCCGATATTTTGGCTTTGAATGCATTTTACTTTAAAAAAAGATCGGTTACCCCCATTTTTTATTTCAGAAAACATTTTCTTATAGTGCAATGCACTATCTGACCAATTTAAAAAAAATTCTGTAATGCAAAAAAAAATTTATTTCGAAAAACCATGTTTATAAATTTTTTAAAAATTTGGCATTACAGAATTTTTTAAAAATTTGTCAGATAGTGTATTGTACTATAAGAAAATGTTTTCTGAAATAAAAAATGGGGATAACCGACCTTTTTTTAAAATAAAATGCGTTCAAAGCCAAAATATCGGCCATCTTGAATTGTCATTGTTGCCATAGCAACAGTGGTGACGTCACTGTTCTGACCAATTTTCGACTGTTTCATTGTCGCTGTATATATAAGATACAAATTTCGATTTGTAAAGAGCATCATCTCTTCAAAAAGGTGATCTAGTTTACGCATTTTCAACATTTCTATAAACTGTAGCGAGCCACCTTAGCTTACCAATGCTTTCACGATTTGAAGTATTATCGTTACAGCGTTGTTACATAGTTGTTAAACTATCATGATATTCAAAGGCTTTCAGAAATTATTGCGATTCACTGCCCCCCCCCCCCCCCCTGGTGTCCGCCACTGTGCTGTAGTTCAGTGATCAAAGCGCAGGTTTGATTCATACCGGAGGACCGTAACAGACTGCTCCAGGTTAAGTCTGTAAACAGTGTTTCTTGTTCTCGATCCTGACCTCAACGAGGATGGTGTCTTAATAAAAGGCGTTTTATTACAGCTTGAAAACAAGATAAGCTCAGAATTAGAAGTTTTGAAGACTAAAATTTCCTCAATGGAGCAGGTTAGTTGGATTATTTCGTATGACTA